AAATTCACAGTGACGTTATTGAGCGGAACTCGATTATTTTTATTACAGCTCACTTCAAACGAAGTTCAGCATCAAAGGAAACTCTAAAAGCTTTGGGTTCGTAAAAGTGGTTGTAAATTCGTTCATAATACGTAAATATTAAAATAATTATCCTTTTTTTATCCTTGTCAGATCTTTACTAAGTATTAAAATATTCTATATTTTTTGTCTTTTGAATTTGAATATCCTAAGTAATTAGCTTTTAGCGTTTAACTTCTTGGAAAAAACTTCGAGAAGAAAGTGAAAAGAAAATCGTAAACAGTTTTCTTTGTAACTAAATGTAAATTACATCTACCCGGAAAAAAAAAATGGTAAACACAAAAATAAAATTGTATTCATTTTCCTCGACTTTAAAAGTAACTATAAAAAACAGTTATTAATTTATTTTACTACGTCTGATCTGATGGCAGTATTGTAATAAATTCACCACCACTTTCTCTTTTCTTCCTTTATCATCTCGTAAAAGTCCATCAGACGCACACAAATAGACCTAAAACCATGTTGTTGCTTGCAACTGATTTTGATGCATACTCGTATATGTGTGCATGAGTGCGTGTTCTTACAACGAGTTGACCATGGTTTAGGTTTAGTTTCAATTAGTTGTAATGTACTTAGTGTTTTATCTTTTTTGTAGGTCAACAAACATTGGTCGACCGTCTAAGAGATTTAGAGTCAAAGACACGCCATTCTCCTGCCAAAAGTGGCGCCGCTCTAAGGGTTCAGCCAGATATTGGTTTCTCCCATAGTAGTGAGTCTTGCAAAGCAAAGTGAAGTTTCACTGCTGGGTACAGACCTACTCTCATTTCTGAGAGGGTTTCAGTGAGAAAAATATATCCTAAAAATATTTCTTTTTTAATTTCTCAGATATGCAGTTTTCACAGCATACTTTCCTTCACAGCCGAGCACGTGCTAAATCAGCACTTAAAATAGCAATTAACAATTTCATTGATGGAGCCAGGGTTGCTTGTATACTGTGAAATTTATAGTAAACGCTTAGTCCCTGAGCTACCATGGCTCCATAGGAGTATTGTAATCGGTCTCAATCTGTCGGAACTTTTTGCTGTCGGAGTTTAAACAAGTCATCTATCGCGCGTCCGAAAAGGGCATACGCAAAAATGTCAATCTCCCGCTGCGGACAACAATTAATTCACTGTGTTGCCGTTTTTGTATAACCTGTTTATATTTGTGAAAAGGCTTGTTGATAGACAAAGCGTTGACAGATAGCGGCCATTTTATACTTTGCCCTTTAAGGGCACACTGACAGACTAGGGAACAAATACCTCACCATCTTTGAAGCCCACACTAGGAACAGTGCGGGAGGTTTGAATTTAAAATTATATCTATATATTAAAATTGAGGTATGAGGCCCAAGGTCCCTTTGCAAAGTATGTTCGGAGTTTCTCTTCGTAACGAAGATATCCGCAGTAGAACCAGAGCAACCAACGACCAACGTATTAGTAATCTGAAGTGGCAGTGGGCCATCCATATAGTTCGAAGAACCGACCACCGATGGGGAAGAAAAGTTCTCATACCGGTGAGCGAAGTGAAGGGCGGTCTCCCACTAGATGGAATGAGGAACTGGTAAGAGATGCAAGAAGTCGATGGATGTAGGTGGCTCAGGACCATGCCTTGTGGTATTCCTTGGGAGAGGACTATGTCGAGTAATGGACTTGTGACAGGCTGTTATGATGATGATGGTAATTATATTGGGGACTACGAATAAAAATTATTATTATTATATCTTTTTTTTATAGGATAGAATGACAAAAAATTTGGTGATATTAAAAATAGAACCACGCTGCAGCTGTATTATGGTTGTAGCACGAATTGATCGGCTCGACCAGGGTAGAACCACGCTCTCACAGAATACCAGCGTAAAATAGCAGCTCAATGGTGCTGCGTTTCGTATGGTGAGTATAGAGAATCGAAACCCTTTTTACTTAATTTTTTCAAATTTTCTAAAGATGCAATTTTTTTTTTAAATTAAGAATATTTATAACAATCATCAGCCTTTAAAAGGCTACTGCTGAACGTGGACAACCTTTCAAAATCAACCTATTTAATATTATAAGTTTATAAAATCCTAGTAAAATGTCATATCCTAAGAATGGGATCGTTCCTTACATTATTATTTTTCTTCTCGAGATAGTAAGTAATATAATTAAGTGCTCCTTCCTACTTTAGAGAAGTTATAAAAGTTTAAATTTATTAAGCAAATTTTTCTGCGAACTCATTATGAACAATGTTCTTAGTTCCGAAACTTTCCGACTCATCGCTCTAACAAATAGACGTATACTTACCTACTTTTTATCACATTAATATTTTCATTAAGATCTCAATATTATTTTACATTACTTGTACGTAAAAATATCTAAGGGCCTAAGCTCTCGTCGTAAATTTAACGGTACGCAAGCAACCCGGGTGCAATCTGCGCCCACCAATGAAATTGTTTATTACAAACTAGCTGTTCGCCGCGGCTTCGCCTGCGTGTTATTTAGGGTTATAATTTTTTTGCGCGGAACCCCAATTCTTTTTCTAAAATAAAAGTAGCCTAAGTTACTCCTTGTGACATCAGCTATCTGCCAGTGAATGTCCCGTCAAAATCGGTCCAGCCGTTTCGGATATTAGCCGGAACAAACAAACAGACAGACAGAAGGACAAACAGACAGACAGACAGACAAAAACTTTAAAATTTGTATTTTTGTTATTATTACCGTATATACTTTCATATGCATTTAGTAAAAAGCTGTTATTTTAGCATTACAAACAGACACTTCAATTTTATTTATTTGTATAGATTGTCAAAGGGATAAAACATATTCAAGACATGTGAAGTCCGCCAACTTGGTTGACTTCCTACAATTAACTGCCTCGTTTGTCTAGTAGTCGTAAGTAAACGCTGTTGCTGATTATCTAAGAAGTCCCGGGTTCGAATCCCTCTCTCCGGTAGTGTCGGATTACCGTCCCGTCAGACTATGAGAGTAAGGAAAAATACAGTGCAATTGTGCTTGCGCATGCATTCGAGCATATTATTATTATATTATGTTTGAGAAATATAAAAAAAAATTTTCAAGGACATGTGAATACGGTTCCCAGCAGTGGCACGTACTGTTACTTTGTTACTGTCCATTCTTATAATTTTTGCCAAGTAGCATAAGAGACTCACATCATTCTGTTGGTAAGGGGCGTCAGAGGAAAACTGAAACAGGAGATGGCAACTGCATCTTCGTGATGACAAATCAATGCAGTAGAACCCATATAGGTTAGTTAAACTTCAAGGGAGATGCAAATGTTAATAGAGGTTTCGGCTTATGACGTAGATAGGTTTTTGTTGATAAATTTTCGAATGGGAGAGATTTTATCATATCTTATAATTATAGGAGATGAATAAAAATATTTGTTACAGAGGTAGTGTTTATTCACAACTCTAGAATTTATACGTATACTTATACGTAAACATAAAACATTAACACATAAAGTATTTATGAAGTCAGTAATATTGTCATAAATATTTTTAAAGTCGTTACCTTACTTAGTTTAAGGCGATGCCCCGAACAAAACCTTGCGATAGTGCGTTTTCAGAGACTATTATCCCATTAGTTATGAGAAATATACCACATCTAAAAGCACATTATTAATGTTTGATATCCTATCATCACATTCCACGTTCTAATTTGTTTTTCTGCCGACTTCCAAAAAGGAGCCGGTACTCAATTCGACTGTATGTTTTTTTTTTTCGTTTTTTTTTATGTGTGTTACCTCAGAACTTTTTTCTGGGTGAACCGATTTCGATGATTCTTTTTTTATTTGAAAGCTGGTACTTCTCGTGTGGTCCCATATGAATTTGATCAAGGTCAGACCAATAGTTTTTAAGTTATTCTTAAATAACTTATATTGAAGTCGGCTGTACAAAATTTAAAAAATGACTACAATTATTGATTACATGCATCTGTTGCTAAAGGCAACGCTCTAATCATTTGAGGATTACACTAATGGATAGATAACTTAAAAATCTATATTCTTCAAGTTTTATTTAATTTTTAAAGTTCTTTTTTTTCTTTTTTAGTTAAAATAATTCCAAAAATTGTGTGAATTCTACGATAAAGCGGCGTAAGTTTAAAGAGGGAACGAATGCTCAAGGTTATTTGGTCAGGAAAACGCCTTAAGTTTACTTATTAATTTAAAATCATTAAATTATACAGGCTGTAGAATCAACCATCGATATATTCGAGATATAGAGCTCAAATATATTTATTTAAGTTATTGAGGGAATCGTCATCATCATCATTACAGCCCTTCACAAGTCCACTGCTGAACATAGGCCTCCCCAAGGAATGACACAAATAGAAGGAATATATCAAGGCTCAGATTTCGAGTGATGAAGGTATTGGGGCTTTAAGAGAACGGAACAAGGGTTACTTTCGAGTTGTAGAGGTTTTAACCTTATCGTGGTTCGACTTGCGAGGTTCTAAAGTACCTAATAAAAATATGCTGTTTTCATACCGTCTGTAAAACGTTGACTTTTGATGAACTGCAACAATGAATGAATGTATTTGTCATAATTTAGGATCATACATGAAATAACACAGAAAATTGATGGTTGCAGTTTACTCAAGACCGTGTTTTATAACATTATACTTGGAGGCTGCCTTTGTTTAGCAGTGGCCTTGAGAAGGAATGTAATGATGATGATTACTATAATGATGATGAGGGACAAAGGTATTCTTAACTAAAACTGTAGTAGGTATTTAAATGCACATTATCATTTTATTGTGATACCTATAAGATTTTTTTTAATATGATCAACTAAAATTGAATATTATTTTAAACTTAGTGTTGCATAGTCTTAAAAAATTAAAGTTTTAAGAGTGAGTGACAGACAAAGGACAATCTTTACATTAAGTGTGACATCAAGTTTAAAAAATAAAATGATCCGAATTTGAAAAATCAAAGCTATCAGAATGTGGAATCCAAACGCCATGGACAACAGACAGATGGAAAAGAGAGTGGTGATAGGAAGAGTCCGGCCGACATGGGCACGAAACATGCCAGAAGCGAGAGAAGATGACGATAAAAGTGACCAAGAAGTTGGAGTCATGCCTCACAGTGAGCCTCCGTCGCCTACAGAGACGTGGGAACAGCAGAACAAACAAGAAGACAAATACGATGTATTTGGAAAGGTTCGTTTTACCGTTTTCTAATTTCGTACGTTTCTAATAAGAAATTGAAAAAAAACATTCATTATTTTGTATAGGTATATTTTTTTAAACATAGCCGAAATCCTTGTTTGATGACGATGATGATGAATATCCATTTGATGATCTTTTTTAAACAAAAATACTAGCGATGATACTATGTTTAAAATTATTAGTGCTAGGAGTGTTTCAGATGTCAAATGGCGGATTCGAACCCTCGACTTTAAATTCTCCATCGGTATCCCTAAACATTAAGCAATAAAATGGACAACAGAAATGTTACGATGTGTAACGTTCATGTCACACGTATGGCGGTAGTTATCGGGAGCAATACGCTCGAAGTTATTTTCGTTTCCGTGTGACAAATTATCTGACTAGGTTTAGTTCTAGCAATTCACGAAGTCGAGTGGGCTTTAGTTGTGGTAAGCACATATCGAATAGAATTGAATAGAATGTATAGAATAGAATAGAATGCGATAATTTGCGTCAGACAAGTACACTACCTATTGTAGTGTGGGTGCATGTACCTGGACTTTCAACCACGAGTAAAGCCCGCATGACTTCGTGAATTAGAGGAACTATAAGTTAAACTTCGACTAGTAGGTCTATCCTCGAATTCATCTCTGCTGGGCTACGTTTGGTAACAACACATCTGGTCAAGTAATCCTCAAAACTAGTATACCAGTGCTAGTAATGACATATGGGTCTAAGACATGGTACTTCACCGCTTGGCGTATAAGGAAGCCTTAGGTCTCTCAATGTGCTATGGAGAAGGTTATTAGTGTGGGCTTAGAGTTTCTCTGCATGATTCGTCATTAGTATCCGTAATGATGATATCTGCAGCAGAACCAGAGTCATCAATATCATAGCCTAACGGTAGGTAACAGCCTGGTAAAACATGAGAAATCGAAGAATTGCCTCAGGACCGTGCTTTGTGTTACTTGGAGGATGTCTACTTTCAGCAGTGGACTTATGAAGGGTTGTTAATAATAATGTCTTCCAGACCGAATTTCGGTGACGGCGGTCAGTCTGAACGTAGACTAGCCATCTGCGCAGGACAGGATTATAGTGCCCGAGTGTATCCGCAAGCACAGGTGCACTCTCTACTCCGTCAATCACACACGACCGGAGAGAGACCAGGAGCAGGACCAACGGCTTTACGTGATTCCCGGGGCATGGGGATGAAATACAGCCAACTTCCTAACTCCAGGCTGCTACTCAGAATTTCTTAACAGAAAAACCCAATTTTGACTCGACCCGGGATTTGAACCCGAGACCGTATGATCAGCAACCCCGTTTACGACCACTAGACTAACGAAGCAGTCTAGGGAAGGGGAAAACCATAGAGTTATATGTACTACGTACCTACTAGAGAAGCCATTCTAAACAAAAAATGTGCACTACTCTATGTCTTCATGCATGCGCGGGAGATAGTAGAGTCACATGAGTAAAGAAATCTTTACTCTGTGGTAGAGTCGCGCACGCGCAGTTGATCTAAGCGTATTGCACCTGAGCGGTCAGTTTTTAATTTAAACTTTAATTTGAAATCTTGTATTATTAGCGCCGCTCCACACTGCATGTACATTGAAACCACACTAAATGACACACTGTACGGATTGCAGTACAGTTCAGTTGAACATAGTGTATGTTCGGAATGCGAAATCTAGTACGTAGTATATATATAGGGATGGGGAAAACATTTAATTTAATGTACTTAGTATCCTTAAATATAACAATTTTTCACTTTTACCACAGAATAAATAATAGTTAAAAGCTTTTACGGACTTATAGTTTTATATATTCAGGTGATGCTACTCGGCGACAGCGGCGTTGGCAAGACATGCATGCTAGTCCGCTTCCGTGATGGCACATTCCTCTCCGGAAACTACATTTCAACCGTCGGCATCGACTTCCGGGTACCAGCCTATATAGGATGCGATATAACAGCGATGTCATTTCCTCTTCAACATTATTATTTTCTTAAATACTAAATATAAATCTTTAAAAAACTTGTAAAGCATTAGATATTATAAATTGATACATCACACGATAAATTCATTTCAGGATATAGGATATTAATAACCTTTATTATCTACATTATATTTAAGTTATTTAAAAAAATAACTAAAAGTATCTTTTTTTTATTTGATAAGAAGAAAAGGGGAGAATAAAATATTTAAAATCAAATAAAAAAGACATAATAACACTAAGTGGAAGGTATCCGACTAATATTGTTTTTTCTCAAATCATATTATAGAATAAAAAAGGCAATTAACTAATAATAACCAAGGGTTCGATCGTAACAGGCCAGTCACGGATACTCGTAGTCCGATTGCCAGCACGCTATTGGTGCCGAAGTTTGGCGCGCTTTTTCCGTACCCGCCCCTAACCCGCAGCTGTGATGGAATTGACTCCATCACTGAGTGATTTATTATTACAGGGGAACTTTTTTGTTTGCAGTTTTTACCGGTTGATTTATTGCATCTGTCGCTGACTGCTATTAAGGTCGCCGTGATAGCTTAATATAAAATGCTTTTATGCCTTATTTTTTTACCTTTGTAGCTTTATTAGCAGCAGTTTTATTTTGTTAAAGTTAAATTTATGAATGTGTTTAAAACGGACATTATAGTTTAACACTTGAAATGAAGTTCAATATTTTTTTTAGAAGAGCTATACTGCCAAGCTACGTAAATAATTATCTTCTGCTCTTCATCATAGGTCTCTCTTGCAAGGGATTACCCAAAATCTTCTTGGCAACCGAATGGGCGATCGTAGCACATTGACACTACTTCGCATTGCCGCGTTTGGATATTTTATATTATATTAGTTTGGATATACAAGATATTGCATACGAAATTATTATATACTTATACCGCCATCTATCGGAAGCAATGAGAACCTCCTAGGTTTCCCAGAGTCGCCACTTGCGACACCCATGAGACGAAAATTGACGAAATAAGCTCATACGACGCTACAATACTGCTACCTCCTGCTTAGTAGGTACGTCCTCAAGATTATTGAAGTAAATGTAGCTTTAAACTTAATTTTTAAATTTACCAAAATAATTGGTCTTACTAATTTGGACGAAAAGGTTTTCTTAACACTTATTTTACACCATACGTACACATCTTCACATCTCTTATTATTGTTAAATAGATATAATGTAAAAACTTCTAGGCTAATGATATAGGTAGGCAATATTAACCCATAAATAGTGGTTTAGGTAATGACTATGGTTAACGTGGTAGAGACACTCTGCAGCTATATTTTAGTTACAGTTACAGCACGAATAGATCGGCTCGACTTGGGATGGACCACGCTCTCATATAATACTAGCGTAAAATAGAAGGAACCTGAAGACATTTTTACAGTTAACGAAGTATTTGATCTTACTCAGGGGAGACAACACTTCTACATTTTAATCGATGATAGATGTACTTATATATGTATCTCTACTCTACTTATATGATGTATTATAGGTGGACGTTTGCCACCCCTATTCTATAACAAAATATTGTTGACATGCGTCATCTCAATTTACAATTTTCTAACATTTTTGTAAATTTATTTAGTTTAAGAATCATTTATTACGTTAATGATTTTAGTTACAAATAATACAGTATCCTGCTTTAATGTCATCTCAATTTCTTTGTTGGTCTGAGTCAGTAAATCTTATTTTGTTGTCACTTTTATGAATAATAATTATACATAATACCTATATTTTGCTTAACAACTAGCAAATTTAATACGTATTTATATTTAGGGGTCATACACTCATTTTTACGCCCTCCATATTGGCTTGACCTGTATGTGTGTGTGTGTATGTATTAGAATTTTATAACTCAGTTTTCATCCACTTCCAGATTTCTGAATTTTTAGAAATTTTGCAGAGGTATTAAGAAATGTAATACCATGACCTAAAATAATTTTCTCACTAGGATCATCACAACGTACTTATTCATCTTGAACATCACCACATGATCTATACGTGTTGATTATTTTATAATAACTAATACTATTAATATAAAAAGATAACAGGAAACGTATTGTTACTAAAAGTGATTAATTTATTTTCTAATTCGTTGTTTAAAAGTAGTAAAATCTTTAATTAGCTACATAGAATAAGATAATATTTTAATATTTTCCTACTACTAATGCCATCTGTTCACAGAATAAGGTAGTTACAGTAGACGGCGTCAAAGTAAAGCTTCAAATTTGGGACACAGCTGGCCAAGAGCGCTTCCGTAGCGTCACTCACGCCTACTACAGGGATGCACATGGTAATAATATTACATTTCTTTTATTCAAGAAGAAATTATCATTATGTTTTATTTTAATAATTGCACATTTTAGTACTTTTTAGAACCGGATTAAAATCGTCAACAATCAAATGCGTTACAGGGGTTTTAAACATATTTACGCGCCATCTAGGAGCGCACGTTCACATTATGAGGACACATTCTCTCCTACTTATAATCGAACCTTCCACAGATTAAAAAGGTATTATGTCGACTCGACTACTTACAGGTACTGTAAAATACTGTGCTGTACTCCGTCCATAAAAAAGGGTCAAGTTATGTAGGCCCTTATTACTTTTTACTAATTTATTTACGATAATGGTTTGAATTGGAATTGAATACGTAAAATTGTATAATATAATGAATTAGTTGAGACAATATTACAATTATGACAAAACCACAAATTATTTCGTAATTTACTGTCTGCTGCGTTTTCTGGGCTGTCAAACTTCCGTCAGTCAAAGAATTCTTATTCTTTGACTGACGCAGTATTTAACCTTAACCGATCGCACCAGTTTTTAATAGGTAAACTATATAATAAAAAAAAAACTTACCTAAAGCAGATGGTTGATCAATTACTTTTCCCTGGTTTTTTTTTAATAATATATGTCCTTTTACTGCATAATATATTAAGACTAGAGGGGCAATTTTAATAAAAATACGAACAAGCGGTCCAATAGGAGTCGGTAGAATACTGCTTGGCAATCTGACCTACATGTTGCCAATTGCCATGCAGTTTGTAACGTGATCAGCTCGGTAGGTAGTGCATATAACAAAACGCATCACGTCCACACAACAGACTGAAAGTTTAATTTGGCCACAAAATTTCTCATCGATCGATCGATGTATCTCGTCGATAAACACCATAATATGCATAATATTGCACGCTTTTACATAGGAATTTCTCTAATTCTTAGCTATTCAAGTAAATGTAGTCTATATGCCTACGTGCCACTTCTGGACACAGGCTGTCCCGCTGCCCCAATAAGTACATGTTTTAAAATTTCTCCTTAAAACTTCACATGTTCTAGAAATATTATAAGTATTCCTCTGAAGAGACACCGCAGCGAACACTTTCATGCCCTAAAAAAGAAATAAATGAAAGAAGGCCTGTGCCCAGCCAGAGCCGGATTAACCTTTAGGCAGAGTAGGCAACTGCCTAGGGGCCCCGCATCGGGTAGGGGTGCCCCGTGCGCGCACAAATATAATAATGGAAAATGTTTCATACAGAGTAAATTTTATTGGAAAATTTGTAACCTCAGTGACAATAGGTATTATTACGTTTTAGCGACGCATACTGTCAGTTGATGAAATACTTCATACTTACAGAACAAAACCATCTAGTATCGAGTAGTAGAACTAATAATATGGATACGTTACATCCCTTAATGTTGGCTGCAAAGGGGCCCCGAGAATTCCATTGCCTAAGGGCCCCGTCATGGTTAATCCGGCCCTGTGCCCAGCGATGCCCAGCGATGGAATGTTGCGGCTGCACACTCTATCAGCGAAGCTTTCAGCTCCCATTTTTGGTGAAGTTTATTATTTACAATCATTTATTCGTTCGTACATTACATCTTATCAAAAGTCCACTAAGGGAGGTATAAAGCCGAACGTCCACCGCGAACTAACCTACGTGAAAACTAGGCTTAGTGAACTAAGCTAGCGAACCTGGAAAATCGTTGCATGTCAACCGAAAAATAAGCTAAAACAAACAACACTAAGCAAAAAGCGCCAGAGGGTTAAGGTAAGGAGTAAAAGGTGTTTAGCTTATTTCGCGTAGTTTCGGATCGGCCTACACAACTAAGTTAGTTTAACTTAGTTTGGATATTGTACCTAGCTTAGCTGGCATTGTTTGCGGTAGACACATGTATGAAAAACTGGCTCAGGTATGCGAGCTAACTAAATTAGTTTAGTTTGCGGTAGACACATGTATGAAAAACTGGCTCATTTATGCGAGCTAACTAAATTAGTTTAGTTTGCGGTAGACACATGTATGAAAAACTGGCTCAGTTATGCGAGCTAACTAAATTAGTTTAGTTTGCGGTAGACACATGTATGAAAAACTGGCTCAGTTATGCGAGCTAACTATATTAGTTTAGTTTGCGGTGGACTTTCGGCTTATGCGTTGCCCGTCTCCTGTTTCATTTCCCTTTATTACCTCTTACGGCTTCAATGGAATGTTATGAAGCAGTAAATTCTCTTATGCCACGCCTCATACGCGTAAATATAATTAATCGCCGTTTAATTTTGTTTATTTTGGTTTGTAATCATGGTTTGTAAATTCTTGCCTTCTTGCTTTAAAAAAAGTGCAAAAATTTTATTTAAAAATTTTAGACGAACTCGTATCCACTGAGCTACACGACTAAAATATTAATATATTGATGTTAACATGCATAAAAAAATCGTAAATGTTGAAATTATTTATATATTTAGATTCACTATTAGCAAGACAGAATGCAATTACTTGCACTTAGCCAATTTTCAACCGCCTTCAAAAGGGAGTTGACTCAATTCGACTGTATATTTTTTATGTGCGTTACCTCATAAATTTTTTTTAGGAGAACCGATTTCAATGATTCTTTTTTTATTTGAAAGCTGGTGCTTCGCATCCGGTCCCATATAAATTTGATCAAGGTCTCACCAATAGTTTTTGAGTTATCCGTAATAATTTATATTGAAGTCGATTGTACAAAATTTTTAATTTTACCACTTGTTTAATGCTCAAGTATCCCTATTCCTTATTTTCTATTATAAGGCAGTGCATGACTACTATCCCACTTGATGGTAAGTGATAACACAAACGAAGATGGTAAAGCGAACTGACTTAGCCTATTCACTCTTGGTGGTGCCTTTAAACTAGACATGGAACGAGTACTCGGTTTGGATTCGGTACTCGGCGTATTCGGCCTTTTTTAAGGTTCGGCCGAGCACCGAGTATTAACGGCCGAGTACCAAGTACTCGGCCTTAATTATATTCCAGAGAAAAATAAAGACAAAAAGTCAGTTGTTATTATTATTATATTAGACACATTAAAACATCAGGAACATGAGAAGCAGTAGACATATTTAGAACGTACATATGAATCTATAATAGAAATTATTTTTACTAATATTTAAATTTTAAGAAAGGAAGAGCAATAATTTTTCTAGGTGTTTTCCGATAAAACGATTTCTATAAGCAGTCAGATAACGAAAAAAATCTCTCGAACATGAACTCATGTTGTCTCATTTGACAAGTAATCAGTAATCACTCATCAACAGTGTCCGTGGGTGTGTGACTGATCGAGTACCGATACAAGTACTTTTCTTTCGGTACTACTTGATACTGGGTTTTAAAGTATCGATACCCAAAGTACTTGATATCGAAGGAAAAGTATCGAGTAACTACTTGTATTTACTCTTATCGTTTCATCTCTAACTCTGTGTAAGGGAAATAACTGCACGCCGTCCGCTACCGCGTTTTTTTTAAAGCCGAGTATTTGGCAGAGTACTCGGCCCGATCTAGGCCGAGTACTCGGCGAATCACTACTCGTTCCAGCCCACATTATAATCGAATGGAAAGAGAGATACTGGCAAATTATTCCACTCCTTTGCTTTATGCATTATGGAGAACTAAGCAAGCTGTTTGGTTCGAATAATATAATATAGAAAGCAAACGGAGGAGTCATGCAATTCTTGCACACACTCGCCGAAATGTATTCTGTAAAAAACCGAAAGGCTACCTGTTTTACGCCTGTGCTTGAATCTGGTAAGATTGGTACCTTATAGTACCTACTACAGCCTGGAAAACTTAAAAAAGGCTTTTTGCACGCTTATGAACAAGCCATAGTAATTTAGCATCAAAGTACACCATGAACTATCCAACTGAATTTAATCTCATGAAGAACTTAACTTACACAAAACTTATTTTACTTGCAAAAGAGTTCGAGAACTTATTACCACGTCGATAGACATTTTAAGTCCAATAATTTTGCCAAAATATATATGTATCACAACCAACATATTTACGGTTGACAACCAACATATTTAACTAAAGGGCTTATCCCTTAATTACAAGTTTGTGTAAACATTATACAGAATAACAGTATCAAGTTGTGTGGTCTCTGATAGGTATTATATTGCAAATTTTTCTGCTAAGCACATATACCAATAATAATAATAATTATTATTATTATTATTGTTTATTTCAGAATTTTTTTTCCATAGAGTGGGTTAGTAATTACAAAATGTAGGTACTTATAAGCTAGTTAGTAAATAAATAAAATTAAAAAGTTACATATATTACCTACTCTATCTATTTTATATTAACCAGAGCATGCCTCGAGCCGATATGGACGTTGTTCCAGTGCCTCTAGACAGGACAGCAATAGCGACTCCCTATCGCCGCCAGGTCCTCCGATATGAATATTTCAAGTCTAACAATTTTTCAATAGTAAAAATGCATTTAGCATTCTATTAATTACGGTGAAAAATTTGGTTTAGCTCAAGCATCTTTTGAGCAAAGATTTAAATCGATTTAAATTTTGCTTTCGAGAATATAAACCATATAAATTACTATATAATATATTCACAATACGTGTAAACTCAACTGAATCGAGGATATGTATTTTCTCATTTACATTATGCATATTAACCAATTATAATTATACACTTACTAATATGTTTTTTGAAAAATATGTTTTTTGCTTTCTGAAAAATAAGCAGTTGCCTAAATCATAGGATCTAGTTAATGTACCTACAATGTTCTTCGAACTGCTATGGAGCTCGGTGCCTGTTCTTATCTCAAGTCTTACCGGCGAAGCAAACGACTACAAAAGTATGGTTGTCATACGTCATTTTTTTTTCAAAGATTGGATTGAAGACAAGGCAATAGAGCGCGTATTCGACATTTTCTCTGATAGTAGAGGTCAAAGAGTTTAAAAATCACTTTTATGTGACGCGCGATGTTAGAGGGACAAACTACCTTCAGTTATGTCGGACTCCGTCGTCATAACTCCGTACTCCGACATAACTGAAGCAGGCCTTAGGGCTACGAACTGGAAATTTCCGGGACTCGACGCGCTTCAGTGTCAGTCGCATTATCCCATAACAAGATTTCATACGTACATACATTATGCTATGGAAATAACTAAAATAAACTAATCAAGTCGGTTTAACATAATTATGGCTTCTAATATTTTACAGCATAATTTGCTGCAGAACTAAGTCAACTAAATTGTAATTTCGCATGAATGAACGCAGTCTTGGAAAGGTCATAAAAATTAATATACAAAGTATCCTGTGAATTCTAAACATAAATCATGTATAAATTTAAAATTTAAAACTTAATACTGACGTGGCGTCATGAGTAGAGCGACCCCCGTAAAACCAAATTCATTTCATGGAGTAATTTATAACTATTAAAAACCTTAACATTTGATCCAAAGTTTTTGGGTCGGCTTAACCACAGAAGGACCTAGCTCTCACAGAATACCAGCGTAAAATAGCATTAAAATGCTGTTGTATTTCGTTTGTTGGGTGTAGTGTAGAGAACCGCAGAGCCTTCTTATTGGAAACGAGGCATTCTATCTTAGTCCGCAGAGGTAACAGTGCATCTGCATTTTTCTTCCTAATTGAGGATAGATGTGGTTTTCTATGGGCCACGGCAACCACTTACCATCAGGTAGACTCTTTGGCAGTACAGAACTAGACCTAAAATTAGCAGGGTTCAATGTATTACTAGATTTCTAGATATAAGTGTGCGTGCGTGCGTGCGTGCGTGCGTGCGTGCGTGCGTGCGTGCGTGCTTGCGTGCGTGCGTGCGTGCGTGCGTGCTTGCGTGCGTGCGTGCTTGCGTGCGTGCGTGCGTGCGTGCGTGCGTGCGTGCGTGCATGCGTGCGTGCGTGCGTGCGTGCGTGCGTGCGTGCGTGCGTGCGTGTGTGTGTGTGTGTGTGTGTGTGTTTGTATTTATATTACATTACTAGATCATAGATAGTAGTATTAAAATAACAACTAGGTGAGGGGCGATTGTATCTCTTGACGACGTAATAACTCTAACGGAACTCCCCCATAGACCCTCGGTTTTCTTAGTAACAATACTGTTGAAGTATTTTACTATATTATGTTCTTTTACAATATATAATATTATGATCTGATAATTCTTTATGAAAAGTAAAATTTTTTGAAAATGTTTTTATATGAGCAGATGAAAAAATTTTCTCAAAAACTGATGAAATACTTAATGTAGAGCTTGAGATAGAACTGGATATTGGATCAGGCAGTAGTGCAATTCAATCATACACAACAAACTTTCTCTTCGTAACCGTTGTTCGAGGTTGATGCCGCACAAACTTAGCAATGAGAAGAAAGACCGTCAGGTAAATTGGTGCCAATTCTCGGTAGAGAAATTTTACGACACCGAGAAAACGTAAACGTTTGCGATATACTGACTGGCTATGAAGCACGGCTTTATAACTATGTTGTCGAAACAAAGTGCCAGTCAACTGGTAGGTATGGTGATGTGAAATTAAGCGAAATGTGACTGAGTGTGAATCACACAGAAACAAATGGTCGCCTCGTTTTCCTGTAAGATGTGGGTCATATTGCCACTATTGTTGATGTGGGTCATATTTTAATAAAATTATGACAAATTCAAAAAAAAACGACAGCATAACAGACATGCGATCTATCACCTATGTTTTTGTGATTAGAAATAGACACAAATTAAATCATAAGCCAATTAGACCGAGCCAACAATTTGTTTATTTAATTTTTATACAAATGTTAACTCCGGATGGTATCAAAATCTAAGATTCGGTAATCAGGTTCTCTAACCGAAATACTATTTATCCAAATAAATGGACTCATTCTAATATATTCTACCGCCATTACAATTCACGCATATAAATATAGTACTAGCTGTTCCCCGCGACTTCATTCGCGTGAAATTTAAATTCGATTTCGTGCGTTTTATATTTTTTACGCGGAACCCTAAATCTTTTTCTAATAACACCAGCTATCTGCCAGTGAAAGTCCCACCAAAATCGGTTCAGTCATTTCGGAGATTAGACGGAACAAACAGACAGACAAACAAAAAATTAAAAGTTTTTTTGTTATAAGTAGGTACCGTATATATACCTTTATATGCATTTATATAGTAAGAAGGTGCTATTTTGACATTGCAAACAGACACTTCAATTTTATTTATTTGTATAGATATGGTACCTGAAGGATATTACTTCCTACTGTAACATCCTTTCAGTTTAACCATCGTTTCTATTTCCACAAGCAGTAACAATTATTTTCAAATTCAAAAGACCTTGTATTTCTTTAGCAGTTTTAATCGATTTAATTCTGCACACATAATTTCGATGAAATCATTCAGAGCGTGACAATAGAAACAGCACGTAAAATCGATATGATAATCGATGATTATCAACGAGCAATCAACTAAATTGCCTTTTCGTTGTACGCGATAAGATCGGATGTTAGTAACCATGTAATGGTAGAGACACGGGGACAATCACAGCACATCTAACAAAGAACAAAGAGAACTTATTGTTTAGAAATAGATGGTAGAACTCCATCCAACATTCTATCGGAGGCCACGTTAAAAAAACACTATGGTGTTTATTTTTAATACAGTGTATACATATATAAATTAAAATTAAAAATTTTGTACAACCGATACTTCAATATAAATTATTAAGAATAACTCAAAAAGACCAACCAGACAAGAAGTCAGACCTTGATCAAATTTATATGGGACCACATGAGAAGTACTTACCAGCTTTCAAATAAAAATGGGTACATCGAAATCGGTTCACCCAGATAAAAGTTATGAGGTAACACACATAAAAAAAACATACAATCGAATTGAGTACCTCCTTCTTTTTGCAGTCGGTAGAAAAGAGGTTATTTGTATATATGAAATTGTTTAAATGAAAATCTATTTGATCAATCATCATGAAAATTGGTATATAGTTATATGTATTTTCCAATGGAAAGGGTCGAAAATTGAAAAAAATAATTAGAAACAAACAAAATTTAAATTTATCATTTTATTTGTTTTTATTTCAATCATGCGCGGCAATTAATAAATTAAATTGTATGCGCTAAAATAAAATAAAAACGTTGCTGAACACAACTATGATATTAACTGGCAATGAACTGGCAAGACTGTGCAGGACAACATCTGCCGGGTTCAGCAAGTAGAATAATAATGAAAAATGCTGTAATGTTCAGCTCTAAATTCAGTAATTTTTTTTTCATAAAATATTCTGGCATCTACTTTTTTCAATTTAAATTACTAATATAGTGTTTTACTTTTGTTACCAGCACTTCTGCTTCTATACGACGTGACCAACAAGATAAGTTTTGACAACATACGCGCCTGGCTTGGTGAGATACGAGAGTACGCACAAGACGACGTGGTCATAATGCTACTGGGTAATTTAATAATTGTTTTATATAGTTTTATATATTATGTTCTTTTCTTTTAAAAGGGACGCTCTTACGAGCATTAGCCAAATCGTTTTACGGCAGGCACAGAATAAAATTAATTCTTATAAGTCTCTAATAAAGTGATAGAGACAGCATGAGACTTAACGGCGTCTTGAGCAGCGTTCGAATATTTGAGTATAAGTACCACTCTTTCAATATTTATACTGTATATTAATTTACGGTGTAAGAATTTCCACTACCCAATATCAACCCGTATGTGTGCGCGTAAGAGGAGACCTCACAGATAACCAGTCTATTCAGCCAGTCTTCTCTGGAGAGTAGTTACACTATGTACTTGTAAAAGCGTATAGTGAACGCATAATATCTGAGATCATGCATAGAGTTTTGGTGGGTGTTTCCTTCATTGAGTCGAGCAGGGGTCTCGTCTCTTGTATATACCTTGTAGGATGTTAATCCTATACAAACTAGCCCTCGTCTCCTTGCAGAAATAAAGATCAAGGAGCGTTAGGCATAGAAGTACATTAAGAGCCACTCCAGGCGATGATCGCGTCGCACCAGTTGCCGTTAAACAGGCAGTCCTTGATAGACCATTCAGTGGGCTTTAATAGATATGTAAAATTGCAAGTATGCTATAGATCTCATAGTTTTTGAATTATCGTGGCGTCGAAAGTAACTCGAAATAAATTAAATGTAAACATTGCCGGTGCGTCGCCTACTTCATTTCCAAACTTTCCTCAAACACTACCTAGGGTACGAGGGTAGGAACCACCCTCTTACCAATTTCTGCCGTCTGTACAACGCTACCGTTTTTATTTATTAAAGTTTTAGGTGGTAAATCCATGCTGCAGCTATATTAATTATATAGTTGTAGCACGAATTGCAACGAATTGATGGGCTAATCTAGTATTCCTAGACAAATGGTTTTTTATAGGATTGGGTAACAAACGAGCACACAGTACACCTGATGGTAAATGGTTGCTGTGGCCCATAGACATCCACAATAAAGAATCAAAATGCAGATGCGTGAGGACTAAGATGGAATGCCTCGGTGCCAGTAAAAAGGGTCTCCGGTTCTCTACACTCACTATACGAAACACAACAGTATTAAGCTGCAATTTTACGTTGGTATTCTGTGAGAGTGTGGTCCTCCCCGGTTAAGCCGACTTGTTCATTCTGCAAACATAAAATATAGCAGTAGCGTGGCTCTACTACGTAAAACGTTAATAAATAAAAGCGTATAACGTTACAGACGGCAGAAATAGGTGAGAGGGTGGTTCGTAACTAGATGAACACCTAGCCATAAATAGAATCCTAACACCTACTTGGTTAGCGTAAACTATTATTGAAAAAAAAAGCCTTCGATGTAATGAGATAGAGTTAGTTTCAAATTATGATATCATGATTGATCAAAGAATGTGTTATAATATTATACAAACATATTTTATAATAGGACTAGCTTCAAGATTCTAGCAAATTCCTCGTCCGTATATAAATGAGGTCAAAACCTTCATGTAGAAGAGGATATAACCGCTTTATTTTCCTGCAGGAAACAAATCCGACAGCGGCTTAGAGAGGGCGGTGAGGCGCGAGGAGGGACAGCGCTTGGCGAGAGAATATCAAGTCGCATTTATGGAGACGTCAGCGAAAACCGGACTGAACGTGGAAGCGGCTTTTGCTCATGTGGCGCGCGCTCTAGTCGCGAAAGCGAACCCTGTTGACCCAGCCAGGCTAGCAGTGCGCGCGCAACCATCACAGGAACAAAGGTCTTCGTGTCCGCCATGCTCGTAGATGGAATACCGAAATTCCCGCCACTTTTTAAAATTGGAACGCGGCCGATTCAAAGTGGACCAACATAAACGCACGCTTCGTGGCACATTTGTGTCGTGTGATGTTATATATTAATATTATTAAGCAAGAAATAATTAAAAAAAAAACACCATGTTTCTCTTTCTTCCTACTTATGTTGAATTTATAATATAGCTTCATAATATTACAATACTATGAACAGCGAAAATGTCTAGTCTGTACTCTTACTCTGTAGGTATAGGCTGGATTCTGGATTTGAATGTACAAAGCTTGAATAAAGCAGAGAGATAAAGCACAAATACGACGTAAATAAACTATTTTGTTTAATCAATATGAGATTGTATGTTTAATTCACGAAAGATGTTATACGAGTATATCAGGTTAATTAACCGCTGCTTTAGTTGATTTTAGTCACCAGGAGAGTATGATCCTAAACCAGTTTGATAAGTGAAGTTGGGTTATAAATTTTTTAATTAAATTTCCAAGCTTATTAAATTTGATAAACACTGTTTTATTAATCTCAACCTTAAAAATAGATTAATAGGTACATAATATGTATTTTACAAATATAAAAATCATCAAACAATTTAATAATAATTTAGTACACGTTACAATAAAATAATTAATTACCTATGTTATAAAAAAAACTTCACATTGTAGAAAAAACTCTCATACTTTTACTCAATTCGACTGTATGTTTTTTTTTTTTGTGTGTTGCTACCTCACAATGTGTGATTCCTTTTTATTTGAAAGCTGTTACTTCACATGTGGTCCCAAAATTTGATCATGGTCTGACCAATATTTTTTGAGTTATTCTTAATAATTTATATTGAAATCGGTTGTACAAATTTTTTATTTTAAATTATGTATAATACGATACCGGCTCTTCTAAATCGCTAAATAATGGGGTATTTCTTTTAAATTAATATTTTAAAAGAAATACCCCATTATATAAATATATAAAATAATCTTTATATCAAAACTCTACCTAAAGTTGTTTGCTTGAAATTCGATTTGCAATGTTTTAAATTACTTTTTCTTTTATATTTTATTTTTTAACTAGCTGGCCAGGTAGACGTTGTTCTGCCCTTTTCGACCACCCTTCATATAAAAAAAACCGGCCAAGTGCGAGTCGGACTCGCGCACCGAGAGTTCAGAACAAATCCGTAGATATATATAAGTTTAAAATTATTAAAAATATTTTTATTATACGTTCACGTGAAGTACCCTGTAGGTTTTGATTCCCTTGCGAATGTCGAAAATTTGCGGCATAAACGGCTGTATCTTTTGATTGCGTTGCCTTAGAAGTTTGATTTTTTCACCGCTCCAAGAGACAGTAGACTTGAGTATTTGATATGAATTTCAGCTTGATACCTCCACGCGTTCCTGAGAAAAAGCATCTTGACAGACAGACAGACAGACATACGGACAACAAAGTGATCCTATAAGGGTTCCGGTTTTTCCTTTTGAAGTACGGAACCCTAAAAATCCTTAAATTCGTAATAAAAAAATCTTGAGTGTCACTTATCAGGATAAAAACTATCCTATCTGTCAAGTTGGACCAAACTGCACACATTGTGAAACATTTCATTGAAATCAGTTCAGTAGTTTAGAAGTTAATCGCGGACAAGATTAAATGTTCCGTTATTTTAATCCATTATTGTTATATTACATAAAGTCTTTTATGTATTAATTATATTTCGAGGTAAAACTACCTGTGACACTCACTCAAAAGCAAAAGTTCCACCATCTTTACTTTTTATTTAAAAATAAAGTGAAAAGTACAGTCCAGTCCACCTGTTAAGTGGTCCACTGCAAATACATTGACACCTGCAGGCATTTCAAAAATAGGCTACAGTGCTACAGGCGAGTATGTAAGGAAGAAGGTAGTAAATAGCATGTAATTATAATTATATCATAAATAAACTGTTTGTGAAATTTGATCGTATAATATACTATGATAATGTACGTTTAATATTTGTGCAATTAGAAATAAAAATGTTTTAAGAATACCCATCAGAAAAAACAACTAATATACCTACCTAAGTACTTATACGTTTAAGAACATAGGTAATATGTAACTTGTTCGAATAGTTCTAATGCAGTAATCAATGTTTTTAAAATGATGTGTGGCATTTAAATGTTGCTTATAATAAAACGAATTTAATTAATACAGGTGTTTTATTATGTCGTCTATCACTAGCTAACCTCACTCAGACTAGGTACATTAAAAAACATCATCTATTTCAAATTAAAATATTGTGTTTACTTAAATAAGCGAATCTTAAATATATCTTGATGAATATTTTATAAATAAATAAATTATTATACATATGTACATTTGCGTGATTATTTATTTTATATCACTATAATACGCAAAAACTAAACAATAATTGGACCCTCTCTTTTGACAGCATTAGTTTAAAAGCAAGAAGCTCAAACAAGCTGTAACCTTGGATCTACTTAAATTAAAATGAGAACATCATCAACATATCTATAGTCGAAATCTTCAGATCTTGATTATTATATGGGACCACATGAGAAACACCAGATTCCAAATAGAAAAAAAATCTTCAAAATCGATTCACCTAGAAAAAGTTCTAAGGTAACACATTAAAAAAACAGTTGAATTGAGTACCTCCTCCTTTTTTAAGTCGGTTAAATATAAGAAAACATCCTTTTTCCTTGAAATCGGTCCCATCTTTCTTTCATCTCTGAAGCAACGCAACTAGTAGGTATAATACCTAGAGCTTTTTTAGTCACTGCTTTCATATTTTGTAATATAGGCAGGAAAGAGAAATATTGATGCTTAAAATTGCTTAAAAATAAGAAAAACTAGGTAGGCCTGCAAATTTTTGCGGTATTAATTTTAAGATACCTACCTATACACTAAGTACCTCTTTAAATATAGGTAGGTACTATAAATAATAACTTCAATTTTGTTAACAAAAATAAGTTGCAAAAAAATTTATCAATCCATTCCAAACTATTTTAAAACTTATAAACATAATATTATTTATTATTATTATTATATTAAATAAAGTTATAAATATTCATTCCTCAATTTCATTCATTTTTTTTTATTACTATTTTTCGTTTCTTCGTAGTAGGTATGTATGCCTTCCACTTCTACTTTTTTGTCTCCCATTCAACCATTCTATTAAGTTGGCAGTACCTACTAATTATTTTTTAAAGTTATAAAGTAAAAATGTGTCCAAGTTTATAGTATAATTGATTGAAATAAATTTTAAAAATAATTACATAATTCGAAAAAACTTGCAATATCATTGCTTTTATCCTTTTATTAAAATATTAATTTATCTGTACAGTTTGTATTTCCCGCTTCCTAGAAACAGCTGCTATGTTCACAGATGTTTAAATTTGGCGCTTCTATCGAGTACTTTAGAAAGAGATAGCTATGTTCTTCAGGGATCAACAACATTTAAAATAATTGGTTTTTATATTTTGGTATATATTTATTAAATATAAAGCGCTATTTTGATCTCTTAAATTTACGCGAATACCGCACATTGAATAAAATTAACTTTACGGATTTTAATATTAACTTTTTAAACCAAAATGTCGGGAATTACTTTACTGGTGCTTTACAGAGACATGGGTGTAAAATTAGGTAAAATTAATTTTATACAATGCTATTTTTATTTGGTACAAGTTTATTATTAAAGTATGTAAAAATACTATCAATATTTAAGTAAAAACATTTAGGGCAGTCGTGTATTAAACACTACATGGTAATTTTATAGCAAGAAACGTCATGCACGTGAATTACGTATTTTACCCAGTGTTATGTGTATTTGGCCCAGTGTTGCCAACTCGATATTTGGTTTTCGGGCGAAGTCGAATTTAAATAAATAAACATGGTAAAAGCAAAAACCGACAACAAAACTAAAATTAATAAAATAATTTCTTCATATTATGTGGAAAACAAATTTCAACATATAGTCCAAGCTAGCTTTGCAGAGATCTAAAAAGAGTACTTTAAAGTTTTGTATGTGGTATAACCAAGTATTCTACAAAAAACGATTGATATTTTTTGGCATACATTATTTTTGATGACTAAAATCTAACATATTTTGCCGTTTAGTAGTCATATGTCATGTATCTAAATGATATTTCATCATTTTATAACAATATTACTAAATTGCCATGGTACCGCAGGGTTTAAGCGATCGTTGTAAATTTCACAGTACGCGAGCAACGTGGGTTTTCACCAATGAAATTGTTGATTGCAATTTTAAGCTCTGATTTATCACTTACTCGGCGGTAAAGTAAAACATCGTATCTACCTGCATGTCTCATATATAAGAAAAAAAAAACATAAAAATATTTCGAAGACATGTGAAGTTCGCCAACAAGCATTGGGGCAGAACGGCGGATATTTCCTTGCCCTAAAACCCTATAAGAAATGAGAGAAGGCCTGTGCCCAGGAGTGGGACGTATATAGGCTGTAACATTAATTTTTACTAAATTATCTACAAGAACCTGAATTTTTTTGGTTACTTATAACTTCAATTATAGCGATGCAGCCTCTTTTGGTACGTGCTTTATAACTGCTCATATTACCGCGATTATGCGTACTTTAAATATTATATTATGTCGTGTCCACAACCTTTTCAAAGATATTATTATGTAGGAATAAAACGAACAGTTGTATTACAAACATGAATTTATTGACTAAAATAATTAAAAAATATATATTTAATCATCATCAAAGTCTCAAAGACCACAAAAATGACACTTAGTGACTGCTGCAAAACGATATCATATAAGAATTTTTTTCAAGTTGCATTGTTATTTCATTGCAGTCCGCGTGTTCGGACTATAATATTGTTAAAATTATTTTATTATTGTTAGTTCTTTGAAATCGGTTCTAATTTTTTATTAAAAGTTTAATTTTTGACTCTTTTGAGTGGACTTAGGAATATCACAATGTACAGGACAATCAGACTGTCGCCTAAGAA